GGGGGGGGGCGGTTTGTTTTGTTGCGCTGCCGAACCGCACGGAGGGTGACACGGGTCTCTCGAATAGTCGGTGTTGGGATGTATTGAGTCCTACCGGTGGCTTATAGAGCGTCGATTAAATATTTATCCATCCAGCTAGGGGACATCTGTCACCCCTCACCTCAGGCCCCAACTCCCCCTCGATCCAACGCCTTGTTACATTTTATTTAACCCGAGTGTATTTGTTCAACATTAACACCAGTGGCGCGATCAAACATCGACACATGTTCGCCTGTCAATGGTATTTTTTGCGGGGGCTCGTCGTGCGGTACAATCCTGTGGACAGTGTTATTAGCCTCTTCATGAAATCATAGGAATTGTAGGGTCAATTCGCAGGTCTGCTTAGTGCGGGGCATTCTGCGAACGAATTGCGATTTGGAAGCGGGATTAGGAAGGCCGACGCACATGGCTCTGGGTGGGGTCCACCTGAATTGTCAATTGTTCGGAGTCGTCGGATGCAAATGGGGTTGGATTGCATTTGGGATGTCTGGGTAGTCGTAGGAATAATATTTGTGGCGCAGTGGGAGACGAATGTTATCTTTTTCGGGGACGTGTCACTGATTTTTAGAAAGATGTTGATTTTCAGGGACATCATCCCTAATTTAAAGAGTAATGTCACTGATTTTCCGGAATACATCTCTAATTTTTAGGAATTAAATCGTATTTATGATGTCTGGATAATCGTGTGAACAATATTTTCGGGGACGTGTCACTGATTTTTGGAAGGATGTCGTTGATTTTCACGGACATCATCCCTAATTTAAAGAGTAATGTCACTGATTTTCAATAATACATCTCTAATTTTTAGAAATCCCTCGTCAAACTTCCGTTTAATACTCAATGTAAATTGTAATTTGGGATTGGAATTAGGAAGGTCGACGCATATGGCTCTGTTTGGGTTCCACTTGAATGATCAGTTGTTCGGATATGTCTGATGCAAATGGATAATCGTATGAATAACAGTTGTGGTGGACTGAGAGGAGAACGTTCTAATTTTCGGGGACGTGTCACTTATTTTTAGAAAGATGTTGTTGATTTTCAGAGACATCATCCCTAATTTAAAGAGTAATATCACTGATTTTCAGGAATACATCTCTAATTGTCATCTCTAATAGGAATCCAGTACCTAATTTTAGTAGAGATGATAAAAATCGTCTCAGGTTTAATACTTAATTAATTTAATACTTGAGATGTCTGGATAAATGTATGAATAGAATTCAGTGCGGACTAGCAGAACACGGAGAAAAAAACGCCGATTTGTCGGGCATACGTCCTTGATTTTCAGGGATCTATCCAATTATTAGGTATTCAATCATTAACATTCCACATTGTCGCTGATTTTCAGAGTAATGTCACTCATTTTCAGAAACCCATCTCTAATTTTTAGAAATGGATTCAACAAGTTTCAGTAATAAAAATTACTGATAATTAGAGCCATTCTAGTCAGTATCCAGTATCACCAATAATTAATAACATGTCTCTGAAACTCAAAACTTTTGAAAAGTATCAATAGAGATAATTTAATCATGAGATCATAGGCTCAATTCTCGGATCTCCATCATGATTCCGGATTAATTGAACTAAAATTTATAATTTCCGTTAATTCTTTCCCCAAAGTATTAATTTCCAATGACAAAATGCCTGGAAATTTCAGTGGAGCTTCCATCATTCGACCCAATAAGCCCCCCCAATAGAGAAGTAGAAATACTTCCTCCTCAACCTCCGAATAGAGCCCAAGTGGACCCGATGTCGCTAATTCGCGTCGGCTGCCCGGGCATATCCACCACACCAGCTGATAAAAATCCAACAGCCGTGTTTGTCGTCCGGAAAGGGCAATCACGTTCGTCATGGTGTCCCATCCTCCCCGTTCACCTTCCCCCCCTCGCAAAATCGACGCTGGCCGCCCCCTCCGCACCCCCCTGCGCCCCTCGCTCTCTCTCTCTCGCTCTTCCGTTCATTCGCTGAAGGAGGATTTTACCCTCTAACCCTCGCACCCCCAGACCGACTGGTCGGACAAACGCTATGAGCAAATAAATCCGCTACTTTAACATGCAGGTCACCGACGTTTCGTTTGTTTTATTTGTTAAATATTTCATTTGCCAACTAGAGCCAATTACGAGTCCAGCTCTTCTCGTTCCGGCCGAGTGAACCGCCGCCTCGACCCCCCGACCAGCGGGTTTTTTTTTCACCCGACATCATCGTAAATCCGCTTCGCTTCCTTGTTTGGTAAATAAACGATTTGGATTAAAAAGAAAAAAGGGGTGGATAGAAAATATCTCGCCCCAGGTAGCTGCACCCGTAGGAAATTATCCCGGTGGGACCTCGAAGCTCGGAAAGTCTTAAGGATATTCAAGTATCTTTTATATTTTACATTTTGGTACAAACCACACTGTAGTGTGGACTCAACCATTTTCAATGATCAAATTTGTGCATTAAATTGCGTGAGAAAAATTTCATTCATTCATTTTTTTTATTCATTTTTTTTTCAAATTTTTCTCACGCAATTTAATTATGAAATTTGAAAGAGATTATAAATATTCAGCGTCATTCAAATTCCATTTTGCACAGAATTATTATTTTTTAAACATTCGTTGTTTTTAAATAAATAATTGAAATTGTTTAAACTTTCGGAAACCTTTTTTTTAGACATGAAATCGTTTTCTGGTAAAATTCTGAATATTAATAAATTCGTTACGATTCCAAACAAATGATTTTTACGGTGGAAAATTGATGTTTTCATTTTAATTCAGGAACATGTTCCCGATTTTCAGAAAAATTTCATTCATTCATTTTTTTTATTAATTTTTTTTTTCAAATTTTTCTCACGCAATTTGATTAAGAAATTTGAAAGAGATTATAAATATTCAGCGTCATTCAAATTACATTTTGCACAGAATTATTATTTTTTTAAACATTCGTTGTTTTTAATAAATAATTGAAATTGTTTAAACTTTCGGAAACCTTTTTATTAGACATGAAATCGATTTCTGGAAAAATTCTGAATATTAATAAATTTGTTACGATTCCAAACAAATGATTTTTACGGTGGAAAATTGATGTTTTCATTTTAATTCAGGAACATGTTCCCGATTTTCAGAAAAATTTCATTCATTCATTTTTTTTATTAATTTTTTTTTTCAAATTTTTCTCACGCAATTTGATTAAGAAATTTGAAAGAGATTATAAATATTCAGCGTCATTCAAATTACATTTTGCACAGAATTATTATTTTTTTAAACATTCGTTGTTTTTAATAAATAATTGAAATTGTTTAAACTTTCGGAAACCTTTTTATTAGACATGAAATCGATTTCTGGAAAAATTCTGAATATTAATAAATTTGTTACGATTCCAAACAAATGATTTTTACGGTGGAAAATTGATGTTTTCATTTTAATTCAGGAACATGTTCCCGATTTTCGGGAATCTATCACTAACTGTTAGTGACACTGCACACTGCCTAGAATGGCTCAATTTGCCAATGGATTCCTAAAAATTAAAGCTGGGTTCAGGATGTCCCTGAAAAAGAAACTCGTCTTTCTGGTGCTCAAAATTTTGAAATTTCATGATTTTTTTTCCAAATCCAATTCAATATCGCCTTCCTAAAAATTTCTACTAAAATGTCCATGAAATTTCAATTATTTTCCAACTACGTACGACTCCTTCTATCAGTATGTTAAAATCCTGAATTTTCGTTACTACAAAAGCATTTCTGTAATCGATGGACATTTATACAGCGGAGAAAAAGTTTTTTTTTTAATTCAGTAACATGTCCCCGATTTTCAGGAATCTATCACTAACTGTTAGCGACACTGCCCACTGCTTAGAATAGCTGAATTTGGTGATGAATTCCTGCAGATCACTGAGATTACTCTGAAAATTAGGGATGATGTCCCTGAAAAAAACGAAAAAATCAAGAAGAAATACTTCTCCCGAGGTGGTTGCACCCGTACGAAATTATCCGGTTGCGACCTCGAAGCTCGAAAATTCCTAATTCCATTGCGCATGAGAATCCGCGGCAGATGGAAATAAATCCGATCGAGTATTCTCTCGACTCTGCTTATAACCAGATTTTAAACGGTTCAGGGTGATTGACACTTGTCGATAATTTTTATTAAATAGACTAACGAACCGCCAGCTGCTCCATTCTCCAGCGCCATTGATAACGTTATAAATGGAGCTCGAGCCAAAAGTCATGAAATTTATAATGAAAAAGTCATTCACTCGAGCTCCGAGATACTTAATTCCCCCGCATAACTATCGACAACCACTGACGAGCCATTTCTGCTCCGCAGGTGTGGTTCCAGAATCGTCGAGCAAAATTCCGAAAGCAGGAGCGTCTGGCGCAGCAGAAGACAACGGGTCAGAGTTCGGGGGTGGGAGTTGACAGTGGCGCATCGAGCCCAGTCTCCGGAAGTGTCAAGACTGAGGGAAGATCGCCGAGGAGTCCCGACACACCACCGGGCACCTCCAACAATCACCTGCCGTCCAACGACATCAAGTCCCTCGCTAACGTTAATTTAGTGTCCATCAAACACAGCAATGATAATCACGACGGTAATTCACCGAATAATCGCGGTAGCATCAATGTCACAACAGCGGGAAGTGGCGGGGGCGCCTGGGGATCATGCAGCCCTCGACCATTCGCAACTACTCTACCCCCTTATCTCCTCGATCCACTTCCCCTCAAAACTGCGAATCTCTACTAAGAAATTCCTTCCAAAATGCGGAGAAAAAAATTTTCTTTAATCGGAAGTGCTGTTTTTACTTGAGCAGAAGCACTTGGGGGAGGCAAAATTGCGACTGTTTTTGGTGCGAAATGAACCTGGGTTCATTCAAAAATACCGAATTTTTTTTCGAAATTAATATTCGAAATTATCTATTCATTGGCGAGAGGAGAGATCTTATTTTTTCGTGGTCATCGTTGTGAGTATTAACAAATGGAGAGATTTCCATATGAAATCTTGAGGTATTCGTCAAAAAATCCTGTTCGAATTCACTCCGATTTTTGTTGGAAAAAATGCAATTTTGTTCAGCGGTTTTTAAGTGGGTTTGATAGAAGAAAGTCAATAGATATTGTTCTTCCTTAAGAATTCTTGACCATGAGTTTTCTGTTTGTTCTTTAATTTAACAAAATATTTATGCCCAAGAATTTCTTTACAAAAAACCTCGAGAATTAATTTCTAAAAAGCAATTAAAATCGGCTTTGACTTTCTTCTATGAAATATTCCATAATTTTTAGCGGAAATTGGTGGAAACACAGTAGAATGTTCTATAGAATTTCAATGCAGTTTCAATGACATATTGTTTTTATGGAATTATTCCAATTAAGCCAAGAATAAAATAATAATCGAGAACGATTTCGTTTCTTTCTGTAGAGTTTTAAAAACAATGCTTCCAATTTGGGAAAATATTCTTCTCTGCAAAGATGTTATATATAAAAAAACGATGTACGTCCAATTCTCGTGTAAATAGATCTATCGACGTGCTTTGAATCATAACAAATGTGCAGTCGAATTCCTCTAGAGGACCTCCTGAAAAAATGTTACACATAATTTGTGAAAAAAAAACGGCGCGATAACACGTTTGGATTAACAGGGTGCAGAGGAGGATGTGAGTTATAATTTGTGATGCATTGATGCGGCAGTTCATCGATCATTGAATCGAATATGACGTTGCGATTATGAACCTTGGTGCAATCATAAGATGTATTTTAATGAACGCCAAATGCGTAACTTGTCTTCGCACTTATTGATTAAGATTGAATTTCATTATTATATCATTATGTGTGACTGGAAAAGAAAGGAAACTTGTACAGTTGTTGCTATAAATATATGAAATCAGTGTTTTACACCATTACTTAAAATGATTCCAATGGACCCAGTGTTTTTGTTTTTAACGATATTTATTGAAAATAATCTATCATCGTCGTCGTTGTTACACGATTATTTGCCCCGACCTGATGACAACGGAGCGTAATTATTGTTAATTCGTTGGTGTCAGCATCCGGACGAGAAGCAACAATGTTCTACCAGACGTAATTAAAGAATTTCACCCGGCAATAGAGCAAGAAACATTGCGGACAGCTCGTTGACTCAGAGAGACGACCAGTGTTTGTTGACAGTTGTAAAAAATAATATGATCGTTACCTCCTTCATTCAGGCGTTTCGTTCGTGCTTCTTATTCACAAGTTGTTATCAATCTGCCGCAGTGAGAAAGTACTGTCCTCTCCCACTGCGACAGAATGACCTCACCTGCATTATCATTTCGTAAATTAAATCTTAATTGATAAAAGATAATGATTCATATGATAACTTAAGATGAAATCTTTACGTTATTTGTTTTTCCTTAAATCGATTCGCATTAAATTCGTCTCGCTCTCGAATCCACGGTGCACAGCGAGTTCATTCAACGAATTTACTTCGTTCATCGATGTCTACTCTCCACGTGGCAGATTCTTTCACTCAAACTCAAGAAGAAAAGTAAAAGAATAGGAGTAAAGTGATGAAATTAAGGGGGAAGGGTGTGGATTAGAGGATTAAATAGAATGAATGGAGAGATTTAATAATTCCAATGGGCCCAATGCTTTTGTTTTTAACGATATTTATTGAAAATAATCTATCATCGTCGTCGTTGTTACACGATTATTTGCCCCGACCTGATGACAACGGAGCGTAATTATTGTTAATTCGTTGGTGTCAGCATCCGGACGAGAAGCAACAATGTTCTACCAGACGTAATTAAAGAATTTCACCCGGCAATAGAGCAAGAAACATTGCGGACAGCTCGTTGACTCAGAGAGACGACCAGTGTTTGTTGACAGTTGTAAAAAATAATATGATCGTTACCTCCTTCATTCAGGCGTTTCGTTCGTGCTTCTTATTCACAAGTTGTTATCAATCTGCCGCAGTGAGAAAGTACTGTCCTCTCCCACTGCGACAGAATGACCTCACCTGCATTATCATTTCGTAAATTAAATCTTAATTGATAAAAGATAATGATTCATATGATAACTTAAGATGAAATCTTTACGTTATTTGTTTTTCCTTAAATCGATTCGCATTAAATTCGTCTCGCTCTCGAATCCACGGTGCACAGCGAGTTCATTCAACGAATTTACTTCGTTCATCGATGTCTACTCTCCACGTGGCAGATTCTTTCACTCAAACTCAAGAAGAAAAGTAAAAGAATAGGAGTAAAGTGATGAAATTAAGGGGGAAGGGTGTGGATTAGAGGATTAAATAGAATGAATGGAGAGATTTAATAATTCCAATGGGCCCAATGCTTTTGTTTTTAACGATATTTATTGAAAATAATCTATCATCGTCGTCGTTGTTACACGATTATTTGCCCCGACCTGATGACAACGGAGCGTAATTATTGTTAATTCGTTGGTGTCAGCATCCGGACGAGAAGCAACAATGTTCTACCAGACGTAATTAAAGAATTTCACCCGGCAATAGAGCAAGAAACATTGCGGACAGCTCGTTGACTCAGAGAGACGACCAGTGTTTGTTGACAGTTGTAAAAAATAATATGATCGTTACCTCCTTCATTCAGGCGTTTCGTTCGTGCTTCTTATTCACAAGTTGTTATCAATCTGCCGCAGTGAGAAAGTACTGTCCTCTCCCACTGCGACAGAATGACCTCACCTGCATTATCATTTCGTAAATTAAATCTTAATTGATAAAAGATAATGATTCATATGATAACTTAAGATGAAATCTTTACGTTATTTGTTTTTCCTTAAATCGATTCGCATTAAATTCGTCTCGCTCTCGAATCCACGGTGCACAGCGAGTTCATTCAACGAATTTACTTCGTTCATCGATGTCTACTCTCCACGTGGCAGATTCTTTCACTCAAACTCAAGAAGAAAAGTAAAAGAATAGGAGTAAAGTGATGAAATTAAGGGGGAAGGGTGTGGATTAGAGGATTAAAGAGGATGAATGGAGAGGTTTAATTGTTGGGAATATCTAAGCCATCGATAGGGTACCGGCTCCAAGGCCGAAGCCAACTCCACGTGGTCCAAAGTTTCTTCCGTAGCAACCGCGACAGTAGATATCACCGTCGGGTGCGTCATTGAGATTCGTCGAGTCCAGGGAGCGGTGGCAGGAACCACAGCTGAAGCAACGCTTGTGCCATAATCGGTCCTTCGAGATCATCTGCTCGGCAGCGTATACTGGGTAACCGCAGCGGGCACAGCCGTGGCCGTCTGTGCTTCTTGCGCCGACTTGGGGTTTAGAATCGATGCTGTAAATGCATAAGGTGATATGTCATTAGATGATGTCGTTCAGAGGAAAAGCGTGGGGGGATCTAATGGAAAGATTTCCGACAATTTTTAAGAGAATTTAGGTCGATTTACAGAAAGAGTTTTCAAATTTCATATGACCGTAAAAAATTCCTCGACTTTTTGCACTGAAATCTGGATGACACTTACTACGATGGTGCATGCTCGCTATCCGTAGAAACAAGAGTTGGGGTGTGTCCGAATCCAAAGCCTTTGGGCCCAAACAACTTTCCGTAGCACGCACGACAGTGGATCTCCTTATCGGGTCCATCGCACGCGAGCATTGAATCGAGTGGCCGATGGCATTCGGCACAGTTGAAGCACTTTTTGTGCCACATTGTGCCTTTGGCAAGCTGTTGTTCAGCAGCAAACACCATTCCGCCGCAGCGCGGGCAGCCCTGACCGGCTGGTGCCTTGATAGACGTCGTGTCGGGATTGTAGAATGGCCTCGACGACGATATTTGATCTTCCCTGTAACGGTTCGTCTTAGTCTTCGTGTAATTACTCGAGTCAACACGTATGACAAAATTGAAAACAGAAAAATTCGGCGAATTCGCTGGAAAATTCTGTTGGAATTCTCTAGAAATTCTATTGGGATTCTATTAACCCCCGAGTGGTCGCGCTATGAGCAAAGCCCAGTCCTTTTCATTTGTTTCATGATAACTGCGAAAATATCGATAATCACGAAATGCCGATTTAGGAGTTCCTCAAATAATCTGTCCTCGTGGCATTAAAGCGGGTTTTATTACTCTGCGGCCACCAAATCTTTTTTTATTGGTTTTTTAACGAAGTGCGATCAGAGAAAAACGCGCTGCGCTCGTTGCGCGACCAGAGTCGCAGTAGAAATTTGCCGAGGTTGCCAGCTCTCGTGATGTTCACAGCTGGCAGATGGAGAATCGTTCTGGCAACGTCGCGCTCGAAAATATACGGACTGCGCAGCGCCTCGTGAAGAGGCGCGACCACTCGAAGGTTAAAATTCTGGGGAATTCTCGTTAAAATTCTATTTGTTGTTTGCGGTGATGCTATGAGATATTCGCTACGAAAAAGTCAATAGATTTCGATTTTTCCATGTGAAGATTCTCTTAAAATTTTTTCTACAAGGATACTTGGACATGAATGGGCAAAAATAAACAAAATATAGCGAAAAAAACTTGAAGAATCCCTGCTCAATGGAAAAATAAATGGAATTTTAACGAGAATTCTCTAGAATTTTAATGGAATCCCCACAGAATGTTCAGAGAATTCCAATAGAATTTTAAAACGAATTCGCGAAGGTTTTCTGTGGAATTTTTTCATGTGTGAATGGATTGGCGATGGCAGTGTCTTACGTGAGTCCATCGGTCTGGAGGAATCCAGAGCCGCAAGCGAAACCGTAACCGTGGGGGCCCCATTTCTTTCCGTAGCAGGTTTTGCAGTAGACGTCCTTGTCCGGTCCGTCGCACGCTATTATCGAGTCAAGTGTCTTGGTGCAATCGCGACACTTGAAGCACTTTCTGTGCCACTCGCGGCTCTTAGCCAGTACTTGCTCAGCGGCGAAGACAACTCCCCCGCAGCGGGGGCAACCCTTGCCGGGGGGTGCCTGAATCGCTGCCGTATCGATCACCGTTGTCTTTGGAGCAGCATCGCTATTTCGTAAGAAATTATCGGTTACTGGAAGTCGAGGGGCTAGAGGCGATGGAACACTCGACAATCCAAGCGACTAACAATCTAGATTAACACTCGAAATTTCTAGGGACTCATTCCCATAATTTTACGATTTACTACACATGCGAAAAAATTAATAGAAAAAGCGAATTGGCTAGGAAATTATATTTGATTTCTGTTGAAATCTTATTTAATTCTTGGCCGATTCAATTGCAAATTTCAGCAGCTTAAATGCGCGTTTTCTTTCAGTAAAAATGATCAATGGAAAATTTTCGATGGAACAAATTAATAGAATTCGATTCTTCTAGATGACATATTCTATTGAAATATTTTCTACTGAAAGTTCTGGGCTCAAGTTTTTTTGTTTTTTTTTTTCATGAAAAGAGAGGGAAAATAGAATGGAAAAAACTTGGAAAATTTATGTGGAGGAATTCCTATAGAAAGTGTCTCGATAGAAACATTTGTACAAAAAGATGAAATTTTATTCATTTTTTCTATTAAAAAAATTTCTATTGGACATTTATTATTTAAAAAACGCGCAGTAAATCTGACATTTTTCAGAAGAATCGGCCAGACCCTAATAGAATTTGCAGTAGAACTTCAATAGAAACCAAATAGAATTTTCTATCGAATTCGCTAGGTTTTCCTATGAAATTTTCTCGTACGTGTAATCGACTTGAAGATGCACCGAGAGAAATAGTCCATTTGAATCACATGTCAATTATTTGAATTAAATAAATGTTTTTACAGTTCGTAATGAAGCTTCTAGTGAAGGTCACCCTTCATTTCTAATTACTTCTTATTTATATCAAATGAATGGTTTTTTATGTACTCAAAACCTTACCGCACTAGAAGTGCACACGGGAAAGGGGTATTGCGTGTGGACTATCACTGGTTTCTAATGCCCAAAAATTCAAACCAATCAAAAAAAAATCAAATTCATGCGAAATGTGAAATGTGGAAAGTAAACCATGATTCGGATTTGTATTGATATTGTCATGATAATTGGTGACAGGTGGTACTTTCGACATTCCGGGAGCACGCGAGAGGATGAACAAGACCCGAACAAGGATGGGGGATGCCTCAGGGTTGCAGTAGCATGAAGCCGTTATGCGGAATAGCTCGTGTGTTGTGAATAGTTAAGAACTATCTCAATTGTAAAATCGTGAAATAAATCAGTCAATTTCACTTTGCAATTATTTCCCGGAGAAATGTCTGAATTGAAAGGAATTTTGATATTTTCATAGAAAAAAATTTGTGGATGGACTCTCCTGATGACCTCTCGCGCCGAGAGAAGAAGAGCTGCGGAAATGGTCCTCAGGAGTACTGAAATTTCCTTGGAATTCAGACATGTCTGGCGAAAACTGAAGCTCTTCCACTTTTTTTCACGTTTTACCACTTCACTGTCACACGGAGATTTCCAGATTTGAAACTACTGCGTAAGTTACTGTAATCGTGTGTAATTCCGTCTTGAAAATTGCTGGCATACATGAGAAAATTTTATAGAAGAACCCAGCGAATTCGCTGGATAATTCTATTGGATTTCTATTAGTTTTTGGCCGATCAAAAGAAAATATTTTGTAGAAAAAGTCAATAGAATTAGATTTTTCTATACAATTTATTCTATTGGAATATTTTCTACAGAACTTTGTCTTCTCAACTTCATCGACTTAAATTTTCCAAATTTTTTGTTTGATTTTCTTGATGAAAACAGAAGAAAAATAAAGTGAAAAAAGGAAAATCTGAGCCCAAAAATTTTTATAGAAAATATCTCAGTAGAATAAGTTATACAGAAAAATCGAATTCTATTGGCTTTTTCTATAGAATATTTTCTATTGAACATTTCATCGTTGTAGAGCCAAAGGGGCGTAAAGGCCATGCTTATGCACACCACTTACGCGCCTTTGGCTATGCGACGATTATTTCAATAGATTCTGCCAAAAACTAATAAAAAGTTGACTAGCGAATTCGTTGACTTTATCTATTGATTTCTACCAGGCGCGGCATTTAGAATTTGAACATTTCTTGACACGAAAGCAATCATAATCCGAACGAAATGCTTCATCTTCGTCACACCAGTCACTACGTCATTTCATGCTAACAGGACAATATTAAAATTTTCCATGAGACGTATAAGATTGCCTTCTGTAAAAAAAATGATTAATTCCCGTTCAACTCATATCAATCGCCTTCATTCCATTCTAGACCACAAAATGTCTCACGATTACAGTAACTTTCGCAGTAATGTTCACGAGGAAGTTTTCTCTGTGTACATTCCCTCGATTAGTGAAGTAGATGGTCCTTGAACAACACTTTAGGATACATATAAGGAAACGATCGAATGCCACGGAATCAATCTAAGGACCGCCGTACCCGTTGTCCTCAATGTCGCTCTGCAGGCCGATCCACAAAACTCCAGCATGACCAATGCCTCGCGGACCGAATTGCTTCGGGTAGCAAGCTGTTAAGCAGAGAAGCGCATTTTGTGTTTTTTATAACTAAAAAAAATTGTCAGCGGCAGTACAGTAAGCCGAGGCAGGAATTCTCGTGTGCCCTTGAGTTTCTTTTTCATGTTCAAACGCAGAGAAAAAATGTTTTTTACGGCTCTGCGGGGTTTTGAAATTTAGCGACTTTGAAATAGCGAAATCTTGAAATCAAGTGATATTGTCATTAATTGCAAGTGACATGATCCTAAATCATGGGAATTTTACCCCTTAAGGATACTCGAGTACTTTTTTTAAATTTATTATTATCCGAGCACTTTGGCTATTTTTTTCCAGTAAAATCCTTTTCTACTGTTGTAGTCGAGACGTTTCGGACATTTTAGAATGATGTTGCTATTTAAACTTTGCAAGTCTGAATTTGATGTCGATATTGAACCGTTAGAAAACATTTTGAAATTCGGAAAAAAAATAGAAATCGATTTTATGTCGAAAAAAATGACATTTTCGAAAGTTTAAATAATTTCAATGATTGTTTTTTATAAACAACGAATGTTCAAGAAAATAATAATTCTGTGCGAAATATTATTTGAATAATTCTGAATATTCATGATTTTTCCAAATTTTTCTCACGCAATTTAATCGACAAATTTGATGATTGAAAATGGTTGAATCTATATTCTGACCTATACCGAACTATAAGATACTTGGAAATCCTTAATTTTGCACTGTTACAAATTGTTGACTAAAATTTCCGGTTCCTCTGAAATTTCAAAGAATTTCGTCATTGAAAATTCTAAATTTGTTGGAACCCCCAGTAAATTCCAGTTGAATCATTCAATCAAAATTGATAAAAACCCAAAACGTCAATTAAATAATACTTAATTATAAATATTATTATTTTTATTATCATTTTATTCAAGAATATATTATATTCTTCAGTTTTCAATTATCTAAAAATTAAGCATAATTTGTTACTGAATTCTCGATTTCCCCCCATAAATCGAATTTAATGTCACTTAACTCAACGGTCCATGAAATTTCATTTTCATTTTTCTTCTATCAACATAATTCTAGTAGCTGTCAAGAATCTCCAAAAATGAAGGACACGTTTTCGAAAACTAAGTCATCAATCCCTAAAAAGAAACGTTTTTTCTCTGTGAAGATACAGTTATTTCTCGTTGAATTTCTCTCTCTGAGTTTTGTCAAATGGTGGATAGACAGTAGAATAAGTAAACGTGAGTTATTATTTTCGTAGAAATTCGGAAGAACCCACCCATTGGCGTAGCAGTCACTCTGCAGGGCACCACCGCCCTGACCATAGCCATAACCCTTTGGTCCGAACTTCTTGGCATAGCAAACTGGGGAGAACATGAGTTAATGTGTATTCTGTTCACTGTTGTACCTTTTTGCAGCTTCTCCATGAGTTTAAATCAAGCTACGACACGCCATTTTTTCTCTCCCCCCATTTGACAGTTTGGTTTTTAATCATCTACGCTGGGAATATATCGCACAATTCCTAGGGTGATAAATGACTCGGGGGATTATAAATGGGGGTAAAAATGATTGCAGTCTGAAATTTTGATGAACTCGCTTGTCTGAGTGCATGAAAACGCTCTGAAATTGTAAAAACGGAGGGAATCGTAATTGCGTGGATGGTTTGATATGATTAGGTGTCTAAGATTGTACGGAGAATGATTTTTATGAAAAATTCTGCGGTCTAACGACGATTAAGGGGCTCTATCAAAAATTCAATCATTCTTGGGCTGCAATTGAATTAGACTCAGCGGAGATCGTGAGGAGAAAGAGAGAGAGAGAGAGAGAGAGAGAGAGAGAGAGAGAGAGAGAG